TGATAGACAAAGCAAGGGAGCTCAATGTCCCAAGATGTGTGGTTTGAAAAAGAGCAGTGGAGGTTAGGAGTCGTAGAGCGCGAGGGAGTGCTGTAAAGCGACTTAAATGTATGTATGTAGACAAAGCAATAGACAAAGATGACAAAAAGGATGTGGAGGGATCCTATTGGTGGAAGCGGGTGGTTGCGATGGACAAAGGACGTAGGTGATAGATTGACTAACGGCAACTCACGAAGACCCGATTGTTAGTCCATCATTTACCCTCCACTGGAAAAAAAAACACTATGGATCTATTGTCCAGACTATTGAAAACATTGACAAGAAAAAATACTATTGATTCAATCAGTTAAGCATAAATCAAAAGGAAATCCGCTCAAATTAAGAGGCTGGGTTCTTGATCGAAGCTTAAATCCGATTGAATCAAGAGTATTTTTTCTTGTCGATGTTTTTAAGAGTCTGGACACTAGATCCAATGTGTTTTTTTTTTTTCCAGTGCCTTTGTCTATAAGAACCACCCATTTCAACAAATAGGATCGCTCTATTCTCCTTATGTCTTCTTTGTCTATAGCTTTGTCTATAACTTTCAATAATCGGCCCGGCGGTTCCCCTATTTCGCCTTTTCGTGACGTTTGAATGTGCAAAAATTTTCCACCACTCCGTGAGCAATTTGTTATTGATAAGATAATATTACGACGCCGCACTGTGCATTGAGGTAATCTGCCGTGCTAAGGAAGAACGCCGTATGAACTTTCGAGAGTTGCCAAATCTCCTCGAATAAAACATGTACTTTTGAGGAAAATTTTGAATATTTTTCCTTGAAAATTCCAGATATTTTAGATGAAATTGCAAACAAAATTGTCTGAGAAATTGGAAGAAAAATATTTAAATTTGTCCTAGGAAATTCGTTTTTTATTGAAGGAGATATGGCAACACCTGGATGCTCACACGACGTTTTTCCGTAGCACGGCAGTAATAGACATATATATATAATATTTGGACATAATTTTTGTCTAAAATTTCAAATTTTGATGTTTATTTTGCCACAAATTCAATTTTGAGCGCTTTTCCTGATAAAAAATTGCATTAAGAAACCAACGGATCCACGTTTGAACTTACTCGCTTCGTGTTTTCGATGATATAAGCCTTCGAGGTTGTCGGATTTTGTCCGACTTCCCCTACTAACTCGATCCACTGTGCGCCGTCTGTATAATTTTGCCTTGCTTAGGAAAAACGCCGTATGAGCCATGACGCCGCCACGTTTCATTCAATAAAAATCAAGTTGATCTGGAAAATTGGAAATATTTCCCTTTAAATTTTTTCAGACAAGTTTGCACGCAATTTAGTCTAAAATAATTGAAAATTTCACGGAAGAATATGCATAACTCTGCTCTAAAGCACATGTTTTACCCGGGGAAATTTTGCAACTCTCCAATGTCATTACTGCGTTCTTCCTTAGTGCGGCATAAATACCTGACTAGCACGGTGAGACACATGAAATAGTTTTAGATGCAATAAACTTCAATGTTCTGAAAATCGAATGGAGTAGGAATTGTTTATCAGAAACGTATTAAGGGGAAGAAAAATTCAACAGCTTTCCTTGATTTCTAATAGATTTACATTAAAGTTGCTTCTCCTCTGCGAATGGGCCTGTTGCAAACTTTTGCTAGAGCAAAACTAAGAGTTGTTTCTTATAGATAATGCCTCAAAAATCACGATGAGCGCATCGGCAAACTCTGAAATGCACTCATAACTTCACAGTCTGCGTAAGAAATTTGCGGTTTTTTGAGCTTCCCGCTTCAAAAACGATACTACGGCACAGGTGAACATTTTGTAAGAGGAGTCGTTCCATTGTCGGCAATAATCATCATAACCGACGCCAATCCGCCAAAACACGTTTGATGGGACGAGATAACACCTGAACTGGATTAGACCAGATAACAATCGGTGTGTTAACGTTCATATTTTCCACGCCCGAATTGATTGACCTTGAACACTCCTTGAATTACGCGCGGAACTGCGCGCAAGCGTCGGCCATGATGAATATCGCCGACGATGGAGCGACTCCTCTAACAAAATCTTCACCTATGCCGTAGTATCGTTTTTGAAGCGGGAAGCTTAAAAAAACGCAAATTTCTTACGCAGATTGTGAAGTTATGAGTGCATTTCAGACTTTGCCGATTCGCTCATTGTGATTTTTGAGGCATTATCTATAAGAAACAACTCTTATTTTTGCTCTAGCAAAAGTTTGCAACAGGCCCATTATAATCTAGTCTCATCATTCGGTGTTTCTATATGCGGCTTTGAGAGCGGAACTTTTTTTCTCTCCTGCAGAAGGTCTTAAATGAGAATCCAGTCGAAAAATCAACGCCTTCTGCGACACTAGGGATAATAACCGATTGTCGATCGTTTTTTCGATTTTGGGGTTTTTTTTTGGGTGGACCCTTAATTTATCGCGGTGGCAATTTTGGATTATCGTTTAGGAGCCTTTATAGATGAGAAATCAGGTGATAAAAAATTCTGCTCTCATAACCGCGCAAGGGCCATTATTTTCACCAAATGACTGGACCAATGCAAAAAAGTTCTTTTTCGAATGAGAGCGCAAAATACGGCTTTTTCTAAGCACGAACCACCCAAACAAGGTAAGGAAAGAAAAAATTAAAATTTTTCGTCGATAATTTTCAAGTTCTCAGAAAAATCAGAAATCTAAAACGCAGATTCTACCTTGAGAGAGCAAGTCTTTTCAATGTTCATACATTCCGGCATTTTTCCAGCATGGGAACATTTCAGTCGGCAACCGTTGTTCTGTAACGCTGAACGAACGTTTACTTCGATACTGCCCTGAGAGAGCAAAGATTATAGGCAATCCATTGTTGTCAAATTTCCCCGAATAAAATATTTGATTTTGAGAAAATCTATATGCATATTTTAAATGTGTCAAATTCTAAATACTTTAAATGCATAATGCTCGGCAGTTCCCATGTGCATTAAATTTAATTGCAAATAAAATCGTCCGAAAAAATCCGAAGGAAAAAAAAATTGTAAAAAACTTGTACTTCTTTTGGCGTCGCATGAGTGTTCGTGCGGCATTTCCCCGGGGCACTGCAGTTCACACTAAAATTTTATTTTTAGGCCGATCAACACTATTATCATAAACAACACCAGAAATCTGGATGAAAAGAACAAGATTTCTAAAATACGGAAAGTGTAAAAAAATCTACTTACGAACCTCTAAAAAATTCACCACCGGGGAGATAAGATCGTTCCTTCGAGGGGCAGCAACACCTTAGCGTCTGCAGGTGCAACTTGCAACTATTCCTGCCCAGGGGTTGTCGGTGTTGCATAATCAACACTATGCAGGGGCACTGACCTTCTTTGAGCTGAATAGAATATCTCAGCGACTCTGTTCGCTAGAGCTTGCAAAGATAAGCCGCAATTCACCCTGTCAGGAAAAGGAAAGTATAACATTCAGTATCCTTCAGTTGGTATTGTTTTGGACGTATAACTCTTCTTTTTACTCTACCAACATTTTGCAATATTCATTTACGTAAAATATGTAACGCTGAATTTCGGCTTTTTCGACGACGACCCCCTCCCCCTCCCCCCCACCTAACGGACCGCTTTTGTGACGTAGACCAGCCTTCCAGAGTCCAGGCCCGTAAAAAATTTGACAAGAATAATTCTTATTGATTTAATCCAAGTTTTGCTTAACCGAGTCAAGAGTAGTAGGGTCACGTTTATAGAAACGTGACCCTACTACTGTCAAGTCTCTCAATTTCAGCTGATTTTCTTTTAATCGAAGCAACAATCCGATTGAACCAAGATTATTTTTCTCGCCAAATTTTTTAAGAGTCCGGGCTCAAGACCCAATAAGAGACTTTTTTCCCCAGTGCTCCAGTACTAGACCATTACGTGTTTCATGGAATGGCCATTATCAATGGCCTTTTCCCGTGTGACACAAGTAGAATTTTTCAACGGAAAAATGGCTATGTTTAGAAATCGAGCTGCGATTTTTTTACGATCTTTCGGCGATAAAATCGCTAAGATCATCAATATCTGAGAAGTTATCCTCGACCTCATTGCAATTTCATCTCCACAAAATCGCGTTCGAAAAAATCGAAATTTCACCCCAATTTATCGCAGTTTTTTGTTCAAAAATGTCGCGATAGATCGCCGTCGATGAGATCGCAATTGTATTGCAAAATGCGATGAAATCGCAATTTTATTGCAAAATGCGATTGATTCGCACTTTATCGCAATTTTTTATCCGGTAATACAGCAAAAAATCGACAATCGCGATACATATTCCTATATTATCGCAACTCATCTCGATTACTGCTACTCATTGGGGAGCGAAGAGTTTTTTCCCCTCCGCTGGGCAACAATAACCAGTCCGATTATCGAGCAAACAGTCGTACGAAACATAAAAACCCACGAGCTGCTCGAGGGAGGGCCAAGTAGGAGTTGCTAAAATATTTGACTCCAATCAGAAACGGGGATCGATATGTGTGATTAATTGACGAGCTGAAAGGTTGGACGAGGCGGTGGATGAGTAAGGTCGTGAAAATGGCGTGTTTTCGCCAGGATCGTGGGATTTGCTCGTCCTACAAGTTGGCGTGCTTTGCTCTCGTTGCTGTTCATTGTCCACCCACGCCTTTGATGCCATATTTTCAACGGATTAGTTTTTTTATTCACACGAAGTTTGTTTGCTCTTTTCATGTCACAACTGATCCTTAAAGGCTAATCGCTGAGCCCGACGCAAAGGGCATATGAAAAAGCACGCAATGAAGATGTTGCATGTGTGAGGAATTTGCGATTTGACTATTGATTCTTACGTAAAAGTTCGCGAGAAACACGATGGTGCCACTGGTTTTCTCTGAAATCAACTCCCAAGCTCAAAAANTCACAGAGTACCCAGTTATTGATGTTTCACGAGGCGCTCATTGACCTGCGCCACGGGAGCTTCCAAAGCTCGACACCAGGTCGCGCTGCGGGGCCGTCAGTGTTGCACGCGGTTTGAACCGAAACGGAAGATGCTGCGTCCGAAACCCTTCCACATCTTCCTCTAAAACATCCCTCCCGAAACGGTTATTATTCGGTCAATTACGCAGCCATCGACGCTCATCGAAACTTGAGTTTGACCGGCATCGGACCAAAGCTCTTTTTGGGGAAAAAGTTCGATCGGAATCCCGGCCCCTCGGTCCTTATCAAAGTTGTTGTGATAAAACATGCAGATTAGCTCCAACCTCTCCGCGCCGCGCTCACAAAAAATGCATCCGAGTTGATAGTGTTCGGCTTGTATATTTTCGTCGATTGTGTGTTTTTTCGTGTGTTTCGCATGGTGTAAGTGTTCGTTCACGAAAGATGAACTCGGATTCTGAGAGTGGACAAGATCACCCGGCTGAAAAATCCGCGGGATAAAGAGATCGGCATCCTGTCTGAATTTTGTCCGTCGTCTCTGTGAGAATCCAAAGGTAAGGAACAGCCTCAGCGGGCTGATTATTGAAATTGATAGACAAAGCAAGGGAGCTCAATGTCCCAAGATGTGTGGTTTGAAAAAGAGCAGTGGAGGTTAGGAGTCGTAGAGCGCGAGGGAGTGCTGTAAAGCGACTTAAATGTATGTATGTAGACAAAGCAATAGACAAAGATGACAAAAAGGATGTGGAGGGATCCTATTGGTGGAAGCGGGTGGTTGCGATGGACAAAGGACGTAGGTGATAGATTGACTAACGGCAACTCACGAAGACCCGATTGTTAGTCCATCATTTACCCTCCACTGGAAAAAAAAACACTATGGATCTATTGTCCAGACTATTGAAAACATTGACAAGAAAAAATACTATTGATTCAATCAGTTAAGCATAAATCAAAAGGAAATCCGCTCAAATTAAGAGGCTGGGTTCTTGATCGAAGCTTAAATCCGATTGAATCAAGAGTATTTTTTCTTGTCGATGTTTTTAAGAGTCTGGACACTAGATCCAATGTGTTTTTTTTTTTTCCAGTGCCTTTGTCTATAAGAACCACCCATTTCAACAAATAGGATCGCTCTATTCTCCTTATGTCTTCTTTGTCTATAGCTTTGTCTATAACTTTCAATAATCGGCCCGGCGGTTCCCCTATTTCGCCTTTTCGTGACGTTTGAATGTGCAAAAATTTTCCACCACTCCGTGAGCAATTTGTTATTGATAAGATAATATTACGACGCCGCACTGTGCATTGAGGTAATCTGCCGTGCTAAGGAAGAACGCCGTATGAACTTTCGAGAGTTGCCAAATCTCCTCGAATAAAACATGTACTTTTGAGGAAAATTTTGAATATTTTTCCTTGAAAATTCCAGATATTTTAGATGAAATTGCAAACAAAATTGTCTGAGAAATTGGAAGAAAAATATTTAAATTTGTCCTAGGAAATTCGTTTTTTATTGAAGGAGATATGGCAACACCTGGATGCTCACACGACGTTTTTCCGTAGCACGGCAGTAATAGACATATATATATAATATTTGGACATAATTTTTGTCTAAAATTTCAAATTTTGATGTTTATTTTGCCACAAATTCAATTTTGAGCGCTTTTCCTGATAAAAAATTGCATTAAGAAACCAACGGATCCACGTTTGAACTTACTCGCTTCGTGTTTTCGATGATATAAGCCTTCGAGGTTGTCGGATTTTGTCCGACTTCCCCTACTAACTCGATCCACTGTGCGCCGTCTGTATAATTTTGCCTTGCTTAGGAAAAACGCCGTATGAGCCATGACGCCGCCACGTTTCATTCAATAAAAATCAAGTTGATCTGGAAAATTGGAAATATTTCCCTTTAAATTTTTTCAGACAAGTTTGCACGCAATTTAGTCTAAAATAATTGAAAATTTCACGGAAGAATATGCATAACTCTGCTCTAAAGCACATGTTTTACCCGGGGAAATTTTGCAACTCTCCAATGTCATTACTGCGTTCTTCCTTAGTGCGGCATAAATACCTGACTAGCACGGTGAGACACATGAAATAGTTTTAGATGCAATAAACTTCAATGTTCTGAAAATCGAATGAAGTAGGAATTGTTTATCAGAAACGTATTAAGGGGAAGAAAAATTCAACAGCTTTCCTTGATTTCTAATAGATTTACATTAAAGTTGCTTCTCCTCTGCGAATTATATAATCTAGTCTCATCATTCGGTGTTTCTATATGCGGCTTTGAGAGCGGAACTTTTTTCCTCTCCTGCAGAAGGTCTTAAATGAGAATCCAGTCGAAAAATCAACGCCTTCTGCGACACTAGGAATAATAACCGATTGTCGATCGTTTTTTCGATTTTGGGTTTTTTTTGGGGGGGAGGGGCTCCCTTAATTTATCGCGGGGGCAATTTTGGATTATCGTTTAGGAGCCTCTATAGATGAGAAATCAGGTGATTAAAAAATTCTGCTCTCCTAACCGCGCGAGGGCCATTATTCTCACTAAATGACTGGACCAATGCAAAAAAGTTCTATTTCGAATGAGAGCGCAAAATACGGCTTTTTCTAAGCACTAACCACCCAAACAAGGTAATGAAAGAAAAAATTAAAAATTTTTGTCGATAATTTTCAAGTTCTCAGAAAAATCAGAATTCTAAAACGCAAATTCTACCTTCAGAAAGCAAGTCTTTTCAATTTTCATACATTTCGGCATTTTTCCAGCATGGGAACGTTTCAGCTGGCACCCGTTGTTCTGTAACGCTGAACAAACGTTTACTTTGGTACTGCTCTGAGAGAGCAAAAATTATAAGCAATCCATTGTTGTCAAATTTCCCCGAATAAAATATTTGATTTTGAGAAAAGCTATATGCATATTTAAATGTGTCAAACTCTAAATACTTTAAAGTTATAACGCTGGGCAGTTTCCATGTGCATTAAATTTAATTGCAAATGAAACCATCCGAATAAATCCGAAGAAAAATATTTTTTAGAAAATGTATACTTCTTTTGGCGACGCATGAATGTTCGTACGGTTTTTCCCCGGGGCACAGCAGTTCAAACTAAAATTTTATTTTTAGGCCGATCAACACTATTTTCATAAACAACACCAAAAATTGGAAAAGAACAAGCTTTCCAGAGTGCAAAAAGTGTGAAAAAATCTGCATACTAACCTCTAAAAAATTCACCACGGGGGAAATAAGATCGTTTCTTCAAGGGACAGCAACGCCTTAGCGTCTGCAGGTACAACTTGCAACTATTAGTGCTCGAGGGTTGTCGGTGTTGCATAATCAACACTATGCAGGGGCACTGACTTTCTTTGAGCTGAACAGAATAACTCAGTCGCTCTGTTCGCTAGAACTTGCAAGGATAAGCAGAAATTCACCCTGTCAGGAAAAGGAAAGTAAAACATTCAGTATCCTTCAGTTGGTAATGTTTTGGACGTATAACTCTTCTTTTTACTCTACCAACATTTTGCAATATTCATTTACGTAAAATATGTAACGCTGAATTTCGGCTTTTTCGACGACCCCCCCCTCCCCCTCCCCCCCACCTAACGGACCGCTTTTGTGACGGAGGCCAGCCCTCTGGAGTCCAGGCCCGTAAAAAATTTGACAAGAATAATTCTTATTGATTTAATCCAAGTTTTGCTTAACCGAGTCAAGTCTCTTAATTTCAGCTGATTTTCTTTTAATCCAAGCAACAATCCGATTGAACCAAGAGTATTTTCCTTATCAAATTTTTTAAGAGTCCGGACTCAAGATCCAAGAGACTTTTTTCCCCAGTGCTCCAGAGCTAGATCATTACGTATTTTATAATCGGCTTCCATGGCCTTTTTCCGCGTGACCCAAGTAGAATTTTTAAACGGAAAAATTGCTATATTTAGAAATTAAGCTGCGATTTTTTTACGATCTTTCGGCGATAAAATCGCTAAGATCATCAATATCTGAGAAGTTATCCTCGACCTTGTCGCAATTTCATCTCCACAAAATCGCGTTCGAAAAAATCGAAATTTCATCTCAGTTTATCACAATCTTTTGTTCAAAAATGTCGCGATAGATCGCCGTCGATGAGATCTCAATTTCATTGCAAAATGCGATGAAATCGCAATTTCATTGCAAAACGCGATGAAATCGCAATTCCATTGCAAAATGCGACGAAATAGCAATTTTATTGCAAAATGCGATTGAATCGCACGTTATCTCAATTTTTTATCCGATAATACACCAAAAAATCGACAATCGCGATACATACTCCCATCATATCGCAACTCATCTTGATCACTGCTACTCATTGGGGAGCGAAGAGTTTTTTCCCCTCCGCTGGGCAACAATAACCAGTCCGATTATCGAGCAAACAGCCGTACGAAACATAAAAACCCACGAACTGCTCGAGGGAGGGCCAAGTAGGAGTTGCTAAAATATTTGACTCCAATCAGAAGCGGGGATCGATATGTGTGATTAATTGACGAGCTGAAAGGTTGGACGAGGCGGTGGATGAGTAAGGTCGTGAAAATGGCGTGTTTTCGCCAGGATCGTGGGATTTGCTCGTCCTACAAGTTGGCGTGCTTTGCTCTCGTTGCTGTTCATTGTCCACCCACGCCTTTGATGCCATATTTTCAACGGATTAGTTTTTTTATTTTTTTATTTACACGAAGTTTGTTTGCTCTTTTCATGTCACAACTGATCCTTAAAGGCTAATCGCTGAGCCCGACGCAAAGAGCATATGCAAAAGCAAGAAGTGGGACGCGGCGCGACGTGATGCCAGCTTGAAACGCGCACCGACGCCTACAAACCTAAGGGGATACTTCAAGCATTGCGCAATGCGTGAAGTATCCCCTTAGGTTTGTAGGCGTCAGTGCGCGGTTCGGCAAACCGCGCACCGGTTCGCGATGGCAACACGCCGCACAGTGGATTGAGTCAATCAGAGTGATCGGACATGAAACTTTTAAATAAAACTGCAAATTTTGATGTTTAATTGGTCACATTTTAAATTTTAAGGATTGCTTCTAGAGGAAAATTTAACGAGGAGGCCAATGGAAGCACTTTAAAATCTCATAGTTTTATATAGACGGAGTTATAAGCTTATAAAGTTTCCAAATTGTGTCCGACTTCTTCCATTGACTCGATCGCCACTGTGAGGCGTCTTTGGTTTTCATCTTCGTCCATTTCTACCCCCCCTCCCCCCGCCTATTTAGCTTTCGATCCCGCAATAACAGCGAATCGGCGACTAATTTTTACGCCGTTTTTTGGGCGGTTTAAAATGAAATTGTCGTTTATTTCATAACGTTCTGGGTTTCTTTTATTTATCCTCCCCAAGATTCAGTTGTTGTTTTATTATGTGTCTTGGCTGATTAAGTTGTTTCTCTTCTCTTTCCTTCCTCTTTATCTTCTCTCCTTAATTTCCCTCTTCTTCTTCATCGCTTTTTACTTCGTCTTTCTCCCCTCCTTCCTTTCCATCTTCATTTCTACTTCCTTCTTTTCATTTGTACTTTATTCTTCTCCTTTCTCTTCTTCGTTCCCTCTTTCTTCTTTTCTCTTTACTGTTACCTCTTCCTCTTTTTAATTTCCATCTCCCTCTCCTTTCTCTTCATTTTTTTATTTTTCGGGTTTTCCTTCTTTCTTTTCCCTTTTCTCCTAATCCTCTTCCCTCTTTCTTTTATCTTATTCCTCCCCTGCTTCTTCTTGTTCATTTCCTTTATGTCCCTCTCTTTCTCCCTTTTTTCTTTATTTCTTTCAAGTTTAAAACTGTAGACAAAGAGCGTTTTAAAGCACCTTATCAAATGTTTCTTCTTCAAAATTTACGCAGAAAACCACCCGGGTAACATAGAGTTCGAAAGCCAAATCGAGCAGGTTGTTAACAAGAATTCGCTTTGAATAATGATGATAGTGAACACAAATCATTCATACAAATTATACGATTTGTCTTCTTGCTATTTTACCTGTATAAAATATAAACAGGCACTTATATCCTCTATAGACTTCCAAACTCTTGTCCTACAAACAATTCTCTACGTGTAATTTAGATGAGAAAACATGTCATGGAGTCCTTCAGTACGGACTTCATCGGGGTTTTGCATACCCCACTGACAATGCAACGAGATCTGAACTCTGAAAAAAACGCACAAAAACAGTCGTTGGCTGGGCTTTACAGCTGATTGGCTTCCGTAGAGCATTGATATTTTCTTGACAAACACTTGTTACAATTGAGAAGCTTTTATGAATTGTAAAAAGGTAATTTACTTACTTACTAATGACGCTACAGCCCGGGGTAGGTTTTGGCTTCCAAGACGACGGGGGTCATCCTACTCTGTCCATGGTCCATGTCATGTTTCTTTCCATCGTATCACATTGTAGCTTGCGTATTTTTATGTGGTAGGGTTGCTAGCCCTACGCACAACCCTCCTCCTTTTCCTGGGCTTGGGACCAGCTAGAGAAGAACAACTCTCCTCTAGGCGGAGTTAAAAAAGGTACCAAACATCTGGACGTATTTCTACCAAACAGACCTATGTGGAGGTGAGAAATATGGGGTGTGCTTGTCGAAGCTGCATAAGAAGCAATGTAAAATTGGGCGTGATTCCTTTTGAAGAATTGGAAAAGCAGGATTTTACTTTCTATCAAAGAGACCTATGTGCCAACTGAATGCGGAACTCATGAGCCGCGGGCATGGCAAGAGAGCGTTGTGGACAGGGCTCATGAGTTAAAGAGTCCCGCCAACGACCCTCCCGTCGTTCCGGAGCTCCTTCGTTGCCGCTGACGTCACTGGCGCTTTATTATTCTCATTCACTCTTACGCAAAGAGAACTAACGAGCACACCCCATATTTCTCACCTGCACATAGGTCTGTTTGGTAGAAATACGTCCATCTGTCATTCTACATGATCAACTTGATTCACCACGGCGATTTTAATTCTTTCTAGAAGTGGGAAATCAATGTTTTTGAAACGACGTCTTATTAAGAACATCGAGATCTCGATTAGGAATCGATGAGTTCAACTTTTTATAACTTGTATGAAATTTTTCTCAAAACTTTGATTAGGAATTTGGGACATGACGCCTTCGTAGGTGGTCCATGATTATGTGATATGGAGCAGATTCGAGGCTCCCTTGCGTGTACTCACAAGACTTGGAGTAGGGTAATACCCTACTAGGGTATAGAAATTCCTATAGATATAGATTTTCTCTGCGACCATGTAGTCTGCAGGTTCCTGTTTGGAATTTTTATATTTTATTTTTATTCTTCCGACCGAAAACGGGTCAGTTTTGAGCCGAAACGTCTCGGATTTTTATGTGTACTTTTTGGCCTTGTTTCCCGTTTTTTCTCCTATGTTTTGATATCACCATTGCCACGGGCTGCTGCTTTAGGAATTTTAAGCTATGAAATTCTTAACCTAGAGATGTTCTGATTTTTGAGGGCCCCCCAACACGTGTTGGGGCCCCCAAAACTAAAAAATAAAGCCCATTATATAGTCTAAAAGAATTTTTCGAAGAACCTGTATAATTTCATTTTGCTTAAATTGTTGTATAAATTGTAAATTTGACTTGTGCCAGAGCTTTTCACTATAGGCTGTATGCACCAATAAAGTTCTATCTATCTATCCGTCTATATTGTTTAACTATCGAGGGGTAAATGTATCGATTATGGATAAAAGTAAAACGATAGCTGATTAGCACTGATATCATGATTGACTGGTATTGATACTTCGTACCAAAACTGTGTGGTATTGATGATCGCTTGTCAGTGTGTTGGTTGGCCGGCCAGATTTGCCAAACTCTTCCTCTCGTATTTGACAACAATGGCGTGACGCGCTTTGCGATCTATCGATATTTCCCCTTTTTAAGCCGTGGTAAATAATCGATTATAGAGGTTTTCGCCGCAAACACCCTGTTTATCGATACTTTACCATCGGTTTAAATGGTCGATAAATCGATGTATCGCAAAGCACGCCACGCCACTGTTTGACAACAGAGTTTTACATTGACCCACTCACTAAGTTTGAAATTGAGAGTTTCAGCAGGACATCGTTCCTCTACGTTCATCGCAATTCAAAGTTAGAGTTAATCCCTCTGAACAGGGACTCGCACGCAAAACACAAGGGAAATTAATGTTGATCACGTTTCTTATTTATATGACTGATATGAGTTGATTAAACCCAATAAGTTTAGATGAAAATGAATTTCCTTGGTGCGTTTGCTAAACTCACTCCGATCATGCTAAAATGATGTTAGACTGTCCAACCCACGAGGAAGGTTCCTTTTCCCCCCAAAAGTTAAAATTGAGTAATTAATAACAGAGCGTCGCGTCGCGAGGTGCTCTACGAAGATTTTCGGACAAGAAAAAGAACCAAAAATGTCGAATGGAACCAGAGTTATGACCGTTTGAAGTTAACTTTCATCAATACAAACTTAATGAACTACTCGAATGAATGATGCACTAAGAATATCGATTGACAAAACATGCAGTCTCTTCTGACAACCTATTTAAAATTTTAATCTGCCATATTCAGAATACAGACTTGTCTGTTTATAGTGCTATTAAAAAGCAAGGAAAATATGCTATTTCGGAAAACTATAGAGGCAGTTTTTCGGCGAAATCTTGAATTTCGGTTTTTTATTTATTAAAAACTTGACGAAAATAGTTGTACTGAAAATTATTTCCGGACGGATTGAGGTCTTCTTCCCCGTAGTGATCGCATTTAGAAAAGGCTAGCATCGAAAATAAAACGTAGCACGCGACTATCAAAATATTTGAATAAAGAGTGGCAATTATACCGGTAAAGAAAAGTTGTGCTATCGTGATGCATGGTCGGTATTCTTCTTTTTCTTTTCCGCGGACATGCGCACTTCTAGGTTTTGCTCGGCCAATTTGGTCGATTTTCAGGGGAAAAATTAACGAAGTATGCGTTGCTTTTCATAAAAGAACCGTAAAATTTTTCATTTCAACAGTGTATATTGAACTCCTTGTGTAAAAAGAGGTCTCGAAAATTTCGTCGATTCTTTGACGTAAAAGCGTATCGCGATTTCTACATGAGACCTGTTGCCCATATAACCCCATGTTTTCCAGGGCTCATGCGAAGTTGGAGATACGCTTTTATGTCAGAGGAGCGGCGATTTATCACCCGAGAATCTTTTTCTCCATCAAGGATGATAAAATATGAGATAGAGAGTTGCTCATCATTCTCCTTGCTCGTGTGAGAATGACAATCGTGATAAAAAAACCCGCAGTTACACGTCAATGCTATACTTTCGACTTTTCGGCTTGTAGATAGTTATGTGGAATCATGAGGGTGTAATAACAGGTGCTAATTCAAAAGCACAAAAGTGAGCGATATTTTTCGCGAATAGAGGATTACGACGCCATTTGCTGAAAGAAATTAAAATAGGTAAAAAAGTGACATTTTTGAACTAAAAATGGAGAAAGGAAATGTGTAAGGGCGAACGTTTTAGCTTAAAGGTCATATTTTCGATGCGTTAGCAAATGGTTTTCAATTCTCTGCCACGTTCAATTTGGTTTACTAATTGAATTAGGTATATTTCTTTCAATCGTGGAAAGAGAAAAGATTATGAGATCAGGTAAGGTTACTAAATTAGAAATTGTGAGAAATCAGAGTCATTATACTCAATGTTACGGTAATTCAAGGCGTTTTAACGGGACACGGGCTTGTATTTGTCTACTTACTCAGTAAATATCCACTTTTTTATGAATTTTCAAATATTTCAGTTGCCTGATATGATCTTGTTTATGATTTCAGGGACAAAGATGACGGAAAAGAAGTCTTCCATCTATTTATCGCAGCTCAAAGCAATGATCATAAGGAATCTTTTGCTCAAAAAAAGAGAAAAACGGAAAACATTAGCGGTGAGTTTTTTATTTGGCCAAGGGCACATATCGATGTATGCCATGATACATATCGATGGCCAAAATGCGAAACTCTGCATCTCCATTGCAGTGTTTCAAAATCTCTTCTTTTATTTGATTTTTGCGAAGAGAAACAGGCCAACCTTATAGCTTGAAGTAAGTACGGAATATTTTACAGTGAAGAAAAATCAAGGAAGTTTTCTAGGAATTACGTTACGTTAGCCGCTTTTACAAAGACCATAGAAAGTATATCAAGAAGTATACAACGGCGTAAACGGAGATACGTGGTTTCGCATGTTGGTCATCGATACTAAAAAATTATTCGCAATCATTTTTTATGTTCGCGGGTGATTAATAGGACAGGAAACACCATTTTTCGCTGTAGATGATTTTTTTATAGATGAAACTGATGCATTTTCACCGATCCCATCCATGTAGCAGTGCTAATTACATATTCAAGTTCACTATCATATTCACAGTTCATTATATGCATTATATGACCCTCTACTCACGAGGTGAAACAAGCTGTTTTTAACGCCAGCACTTAGGTTTTGTTAAAATGGTTGCAAAACGCCACAAGACGTTGAAAGATATAACATTCCACTGGAAGCGATAATGTACCGCCGTCGTAAAGTTATCGGTAAAATTCACCACATTTTTAAATTTCACATGCACATTTCATTTGTAAATAAAAGTAGTCGCTCGAATCGTTCAAAAAAGTGTCACTAAACATCAAAGAAATTTCTTTTGCGTGCGGTAAGGTCTTTACAATCGCCTTCAGCTTACCGCGATACCACCCCTCGACATTCACGCTCGAATAGTTGCATCAAATGGACATAATTCTACCAAACGGAACTTTATGTATTGAGACATGAGCCCTGAGACTCATAAGAATATATGCATAACAGGGCTCACGTCATAATGCATATAGTTCCATTTGGCAGAAATAGGTCCAAATGAACTCGAAAAGCACAGCCTATGTAGAGCACGGCATTGCAGTTCATACGAAGGAAATATTTCTCTCAATGTCGCTGAAGAGCGAGCCAAGGAAGTTTTTCGGCTGGACTGCCAGAGTCTGTCCTCAAAGCGTATCATAGGCTTTAAATGTTTCGATGTTGCCAAATTGTGAAGATAATCTGACTTATGAGTCATAATGGGTCCGTAGGAGATAAGAGTTACAACCGGAGTTAGAGTTACAGACTGAGTGGATATTTTACGATTAAAATTCCATAAAAAATACATCGGTAAATAAAAAATGTCTAAAGTCTACTCTTCAATGCTCAATTTACGTATTGCATGTCACGAATTTTCAAAGTTACCGCGTCAGTGGGCAGTTTTTTTCCTGATATTCCACGTGCTTTTCTTGAGATTTTATCTCTTTCAAGATGGATCATCAGCACTTTGGGGAACTTAAGTCCATAGTCGATGAATCAATTGATAATTTCAGAATTTCAGATTATTTCTTAAGAATTACCAAGCATCACACGACGTGATAGTGCGTCAGGTATTTTTACACAAAATTTGACTGAGAAACACTTTGAAATAGCTCTGAAAGTACGTCCTGAGTGAATATCGCAAATAATTGATCCTCTAATTTGCGATAGTTACTTAGGATGTACCTATTTTGAGAGTTATTTAAAACATTTTCTTGGTGAAATTTAATGTACGAATACCTGACGCAGTATCACGTGATGTGATGATCGGAAATTCTAAAGAATTATCCTAAAATCCTGAAGCTGGTAAGTCGTGCTAGCCATAGAATCGTCTTTCGACGGCTTAGCTTGAAGTTTAGCAAACATAATAAGAGTGACCCAACGCCAAATTCGTATAGATCATCGAAAAACACTGTGTGTGATGTCATCCATTGCAGTATTGTGCATACCATTTTTTTTCACCTTGATTTCATAATCAGAAATACACACATTTGTCGATAAACAGAGACAAAACCGGAGTGGAAGAAACCTCTCTATGCATGCACCGTTGGATGACGTCATATACATCGAGTTCTTTGATGGTCTTCATTTCCGTTAATATTGGATACAGAAACTTAGTGTTTGATCATACATACATTAATCTTGTTTAATTTTGCTAATCTACATTTCTCAACCACCAAAACACGATTCTGTGACTAGCAACTGCAACCCGCAACTGCGGGCCGATTATTGAAATTGATAGACAAATTATAGACAAAGAAGACGAAAGGGGTATGGAGAGGTCCTATTGGTGGAAGCGGGTGGTGTAATGGACAAAGGAGGTAGGTAATAAGACTAACAAACGTTAACTCAAAAGAGGCCCTATTGTTAGTCTATCATTTTGTCCCTTAGTCTATAGGAATCACCCAGTTCAACCGATAGGATTGCTCCATACGTCCTATGTCTTCTTATAGCTTTGTCTATAAATTTCAATAATAAGTCCGCTGATTCATTATCAATTGATTGACAGACTGTCGAATCGTTCTCTCAAAGACCGAAGAACCACCTCAAGCCGTTTCATCTACTTATCGGCTCGTGCGAAAACTTCCGTTGTCCAGGTTCATAATTGCAGTGGTTTCTATTGCTCCACGACACTGACGGAGAAAGTCGATCTCTTCAGTAAATGTTTAATTATACTTAGAGGATTTTTTTTTTTTTTTATATAAAATTGTTTTTCATTCCCATCGTCTTAAACCATCTTGTGTGCGTACGTTACGACAAACGTGTCCGCTCAAATTCTGAAACACTGTATTGGACGACGTACGTTTTCGAACGAGCCGATCCAGTAGATGAAACGGCTTGAGGTGGCTCTTCGGCACTTGCGAGTACGATTCGCTTGTCTATCAATCAATTGATAATGAATCAGCGGACTGATTTTTGAAATTGATAGACAAAGCTATAGGCAAAGAAGACGTAGGGAGTATGGAGTGATACAATCGGTTGAACTTGGTGGTTCCTATATTATAGACTAAGGGAGAAAATGATAGACTAACAGTAGGGTCTCTCTTGGGTTGCCGTTTGTTAGTCTATTACCTACCTCCTTTGTCCATTGCAACCACCCGCTTCCACCAATAGGACCCCTCCATACCCCTTTTGTCTTCTTTGTCTACGGCTTTGTCTATCAATTTCAATAATTGGTCCACAGTTATGAATCGTATTTTGGTGGTTTAAATATGTAGATAAGCCGAATGAAACAAGATTTACGTAGGTATCTATGATCAAATACTATTCGTATCTCCAGTGTTCAAAGGACTCGGGGGTTTTCCCGTCGGAAATGTGACAGAGCTGGAGGGACGTGCCGCGCCAAAACTTAAAGTAAACATAGATATTGCAACGGGCGAATCGATTTGATGCACGGGCGAAAACTGTGACTCTTGCATGCTCGGTATGGCTTCCCTCCAATGCTGACAGGCGGACACTGTTCCCTAGTTTCCTCTCAAGGTTATCCTACTCCGTAGTTTTTACTATTTCCGTTTTAGCGACGATTGTGTTCGCTCCTCGCGCGCCGAAAAAGCCTCCAAGGAGCCGCTCTTTTGGCTTCTCGACGCGGATATGAACGCAAAGAGTGGGACGGCACACAGTGGACCGAGTCAATCAGAGAGATCGGACGCGAATTTTTTTACTAAAACCGCAAATTTGTATAATCAATTCGTCGTATTTTGAATTTTAATGAGTACTTCTGGAAGAAAATATCACGGGGAAACCGATGGAACGGAACGGAGGGTATGAATTCGATCGACATGAATCGATCGAAAAATGAAAACGTGAATCGATCGACATGAATCGATCGACACAGATTTGATCGACATGAATCGATCGACACCGATTCGATCGACAAATTGTTAAAAAAACCGGTGTCGATTCGATCGACATGAATCGATCGAAAAATGAAAACGTGAATCGATCGACACCGATTCGATCGACAAATTATTAAAAGACCGGTGTCGATTCGATCGACATGAATGGATCGAAAAATGAAAATGTGAATCGATCGACACCGATTCGATCGACAACCGTGAATTAATCGACAAACCCGTGAATCGATCGACAAACCCGTGAGTCGATCGACAAACCCGTGAGTCGATCGAATTTTGTCGATCGAATCGGTGTCGATCGATTCACGTTTTCATTTTTCGATCTATTCATGTCGATCGAATCGATACGGGTGTTTTTAAATTAACTGTCGATCGAATCGGTGTCGATCAATTCATGTCGATCGAATCACGTTTTAATTTTTCGATCGATTCATGTCGATCGAATCGACACCGGTCTTTTAATAATTTGTCGATCGAATCGGTGTCGATCGATTCATGTCGATCGATTCACGTTTTCATTTTTCGATCGATTCATGTCGATCGAATCCATACCCTCCGAATGGAACCACGTATAAAATATCCAAGTTTTGATTTAACGGAGTCATGAGCTTTTAAAGTTTCCAAGTTTTGTCCGACTCCTCCCGTTGACTCGATCCACTGTGCGGCACACGTCCGTTGGGCGTGTGGTAACGGTACAGAGTCACGCAATGACAGTTGAAACCCCTAAAATTGGAAAAAAGCTCCATTAAAACTTTATCGACGCAGTGGATCGTGTCAATTAGAGAGGTCGGACATGACATTTTTTACTAAAACTGCAAATTTTGATGCTAAATTCGTCACATTTCAAATTTATAGGTGTGCTTCTTGAGGAAAATTTTACGAGAAAACCAATGGAACCACTCTTAGAATCCAAATCTCCATTAAAACCTTATCGGCGCAGTGGATCGTGCCAATTAGAGAGGTTGGACATGAAATTTTTGACTAAAACTGCTTATAATGTTTATTTCGTTACATTTCAAATTTCAAGGTGCGCTTCTTGAGGAAAGTTCTACGAGGAAACCAATGGAGCCACTTTCAGAATAAAAAAAAATGGTATAAACGGAGTTATAAGCCTTCAAAGTTTCCAACTTTTGTCCGACTTCTTTTAATGACTCGGTCCAGTGTGCGACGGTAAGACTCAGTGGCGTGGCGTGTTTTGCGATATATCGATTGATCTACCATTTAATCCTATGGGAAAGGATCGATAAACAGGGTGTTCGCAGCGAACACCTTTATAATCGATTACTTACCACAGCTTCAAATGGGGAAATATCAATACTCGATCATTCTCGCCACGCCACCGGTAAAACTATATGAACGCACAGAGGAAAAAGAGCTCGCGTTAGAGACACAAGAGGGGCCTCGGGTCGGTTGATGCCTCAGATGTTGGCCGAAACGCACTAAAACGAAATTTGGGAAAAACTTGTAAAAATGCGGTCCAAAACCGGCAGAAATAAGGCGTAAAAAAGTTTGGTTTAACGCGGATTATGACTTATCCGTCTTGCGTCTTCGACGCAGACCTTCTTCCTGGGGCCGAATTAGTTGGTCCTCCCGCCGTAACATATACTTAGGACGAGCCTTAAGTTACTTCTGCGTTTAGTGGTCTTTAATAACATTGCATTAGAAGAAACCAAGGCTCATCCGTAGGGGCGCATATTGATTAATCTGACACGCAGATTTTTTCTACAATGACGCAAAAGACTCGGCGCCTTTCTTGTGTAACGCACGACTTCGAAGGAAAACTACAGGACACTAGGCGTGAATGATCAATGGAGATGTTGCATGTGTGAGGTGTTTGCGATTCGACTGTTGATTCTAATGTAAAAGTTCGCGAGAAACACGATGGTACTGGTTTTCTCTGATATCAACTTCCAAGCTCAAAAAAAAGCTCTCAAGTTGAGGCCAAAATGGAGGGGATATCCCACGCTATCCTGAGAGTCCACCTTTACATCAAGACAAACTCTCCATGCAAAGATAGGGAGCAAATACATTAGCTGTGATGCCGTGTTTTCAGTTTTAGAGTCCCCAAATAAAGTGGCAGCCCTGTCAATGTATTTGCTCCCTATCTTTGCATGGAGAGTTCGTCTTGATGTAGAGGTAGACTCTTAGGATAGCGTAGGATATCCCCTCCATTTTGGCCTCAACTTGAGAGCTTTTTTTTGAGCTTGGGAGTTGATTTCAGAGAAAACCAGTGGCGCCATCGTGTTTCTCGCGAACTTTTACATAAGAATCAATAGTCAAATCGCAAATCCCTCACACATGCAACATCTCCATTATCGATTGATCTGCCATTTAAACCCATGGAAAAGGGTCGATAAACAGGGTGTTCGCGACTGTCACCTTAATAATCGATTCTTTACCCCAGCTTCAAATGAGAAAATATCGAAAATCGATCATTCACGCCTCGTGCCCGGTGGTTTTCTTTTTACGGTCGCTGAGACTCATGATTGAACTGCGTTACACCAAAAAGGAGCCGAGTCTTTTGCGTCGTTGTAGGAAAAGTCTGCTTGTCAAATTAATTTCAATATGCACTTTTATAGATGAGCCTTAGTTCCTTTATGTGCGATGTCATTATAGACGGATCCAGACACTGGCAACATTGTCCATCCTCCATTTAAACCTATGTAAATGTATCGATACTTGGAGGGACCACGTGCTCCGACAGGAATCGATTATTTGGCATAGGTTTAAATGGAAGAAACCCATTGTTGCCAAATTGCTGGATTCGCCTCCGATTACAGACCGCTCGACGCTTGGTCGATTATCGATACCCATTTGAAACTGGGGCAAAGAATCGATTATTAAGGTGATAGTTGCAAACAACCTGGCTATCGATCCTTTTCGATATCGATACATCGCGAAACACGCCACTGGTTGATACCGCAATTGGTTGCTCGTTGGAAGCAGCAACAAAACTTCGAAGAGACGGGGTAAATATCGGTCATGAGAACTTCGAAACTTTTCAAACGCGTCTCACCTCAATAGTGCTTCATTTTTTATCCTTTCAAATGTCTAGTGTTCCACTCAATCAGTGCGATGATGGTTCCCTCAATCGATGCGAACGCGAAATACTTTCGATTTGGGTCGCGGACCCTCTACGCCGCGCCGTGCCGTGCCACAAGCCGTCGTCCTCATAACATAAGAGCGTAACTGCACTCTGCAATGAACCCTGCTGTCCATAAAGTGTGATGCTTCACCGGGCTCATCTCAATGTGTAGTTATGCTCTTTTAACAGCCGTGCCACAAAAGTTACAGAACGAATTACAAAGGCGTTTTCCGCCTCTTATTTGGTTACAATTTTGTTATGAATCCATTCAATTATTTAATCATTTGTTTATTTACATCTGTATTGAGGTCAATCTACGGTGTAGGTTCTACGCACGGAGCAGTGTTCGAAACTCACAGGTGCCAACGCGCCAAAAGCGCCTATAAAAAATCGGCCATGGTGCCTAAGAAATGAAGGCTCTGCGCTAACGTGGCCACTAAAAATTGCCCCTTAAAAATCTGAATTTTCATGTAAGGTGATTGTTCAAAATTTTTAGCACTACAAGTGAAAGCTTTTTCTATTCTTTACGATCTCATCCTTAGTGCTTTTGTCTTCCTCAAGTTACAGCTACTTACTAGTTCTGCTACGAAAACATCTTGCGTCTAATTTTTCACTGAATATGCCGTACTATATAGGTAGGCAAAAAGTCAATTTGGCCCTTAAAAAACTTCAATGGCGCCTAAAAATCAGGCTTGATGCGCCACATGGCTCCTAAAACTCAAAGGTGAGTTTCGAACATTCGCACGGAGTATTTTCTGAGCTCGCCAACTGAATGGGTCAGTTGCGCTGACCACAGAGTCGTGTTTTGATGCTTGATCCTTGTAGACCAGCTAAAAATAATAAGATCTGTCAGAACAGCAACTTTCTTTGTCCGAGATATCGCGCTTTGAAAAATTCGGTTTATGACGTCATCCTACGTGGTAGTGATACCTTTGGTTTCTTTCACCTTGCTTTCGTCCGAGTTCCACGTTGAGTAGCAAGTGAACATGTGTGTCTCCCTGATAAATGAACGCAAGGTGGAAGAGACCAAGGGTGTCACTACCGCGGTGGATGACGCCGGGTACCGAATTTTAAAAAGCGCAATACTTCGGTTAATATTGAGCGGAGAGAGTTGCTGTTTGGGCGGATCTTAATATTTTTAGCTGATCCATAAGAATCGAGCATCAAAACACGATTCTGTGACCAGCGCAATGGACTTATTCAGATTGGAGGAATAGGCCAACACAACATGGAAATTGAGCACGGGAAAGGACGCGCATAGATGACGGCGCAGAGATACAACTATTCGTGCTTGTTGGATGTCCGTATTGCGTCTGAAAAATTGAAGGAGCTATGGCGCGAGGCGTCGTGAACTCTTAATGCTTCGCTTTGTGCTACCGATGAGACATCGCTCGGATTTGAGAAAAAAGTTAAGAAATGAGACCCGAATATGTTTCTCCCATCTACGGCTGTGTTGACAATCGATTTTTTGCTTTATTGTCTCAATGAAACGTCTGATTTTTTTTTTTTTTTTTTTTTTTTATGTATTTTTAGACATGTATTTGAAGCTTGTGTACACCGGCCCCATACAACCCGCATGTCACCCAATCTGCCGTGCTAAGGAAGAACGCCGTATGAACATTCGAGAGTTGCCAAATTTTTTCCGATTAAATGTTTATTTTGGAGGAAAATTTTCGATATTTTGCCTTGAAATTTTCAGAATTTTTAGATCTAATTCCAAGCAAAATTACCTGAGAAAGAAGAAAAATATTCACACATTTTCTTGAAAATTATTGATTTGTTAATGGAACTTTGGCAACGCTTGAAGGCTCATACGGCGTTTTTCCTTAGCACGGCAGTAAAGTAGCAAGTGTCGGGTCAAATTGACACGGCTTTAGCATCCGAGGGTTAATTTTTCCTCCTCCAGCCATCTAAAATTTTTTCATTATCTCCTCCACCAGTGCAAACGAAGATAATAATGTCAAATGGTACTGACAACAATTTAAAATTGAGATTGTTGAGTTATTCAAGAGGGAAAAGAATGTGTGAATTGGATTTGGATTACAATTGTACTACTTTTTTCAATAAGGAACTACAATTTCTGGCAATTTTTAGAAATAACGTATCTGCCATTTGTTCCCCTATGCAGATATGTGCTATTATAGGTGAGCTAGAAATTGTAGTTCCTAATTGCAAAGTGTATAGCATTCAACTTAGCAGGTAACTGGATGGCGTAAGTCCGCAACCACATATCTCGTCTGCGGTGTTTGAAAATCTCCGCCTCTATATTATATTTTAAAAGGAGAACAAATTGACATCATTCCTTGAAGCTTTTGCAGGATTTTCTTCGCACAGAAAATAAATATCATGACACTTTTAAAGAATCGCCGTTGAGCAGATTTCCGTTTAAAAAATAAAGTATGACAGGAAGTCTGCAAACCGAGATACATGGTTGCGGTCTTACACCGTCGAATTATTCTAGATTCAGATTGCTCGTGGATTGATCTGAATTTCAACATTAATATTTCGTTTTTTTGTTCTTCTGTGCAGGAGATACTGTTACCTTTATACTCTTTAAGTGTTCTTATAGTTTTAAAAATTATGGTTCCGAATCCTAATTTTCCTCCTGTAACTTCGCCAAGAGGACCACCAATGGACCTGTTCGCTCATTTTCAACAGTTCAATAATCACACTGTTGCTGTAGCACCTAGCACTCCTCGCATTGAGGTAAGTTAATGTTCTGGATACCCACTTAACTTACACTGTGTTATTTCCAGTAATTTAATTAGTGATTTAATGCACCATTAAATTACTAGTGACTAGCAGAGCGACGGTGAAGCTGCAGTAATGAGTATATCAGTTTGCGGCGTTGCAGACTTCCTGTTATATTCAAAGCTATTAAAGTTTATACAAAAGTTATTAAAATAGAAAGGGAAAGAGATTGACAAAAACATCCTGTTACTCACTCTTGTGATTGAAATTGTTGCTAAAAAATTCCCTCTACTTCATAAATTGATACGAATTGACGAGATAAAAGTTTGTATTGTAAAGAGCGTAAAATTTTAAAAGTCAATTGAAGGTATTACTAGAGTCCATAATAAAATTGCCTCTCTGATGATGGTTCATGATTTGTTTTAAAGTAATCATGGTTGTTCTTTTCTGTTCGCAGGAATTTTTAGTTTCTATGAATAAATTATGGATACATAGTTCATCAAAGAAGGCTGTGAATTTCAGTTTTATAATGTTCAAAACTAAAGAAGACTTAGTAGAAGCTTACTGGAATGAGCCAACTTCTATACCAATAGCGATAGTTTTTGAAAACGATGACCCTATCAAAGGTCCTCTTGAGTAAGCAAACTTCAAACCTTAACATGATTTGTTCCCTTAATTTTTTCAGCCAACTAAAGTACACTAAAGACTGAGAAATGTCTTATTCTCAAAACAGAAAAAAAGATCAAAGTATGACTCAAGGGGTGAGAGTCAGAGGGGCCTAATTTTATTGCAATGTTGCAAAATTTCACCCGGCAATTTTCTTTCATGCTCCAAATTTGTTGTTTTTTTAAGTTTGCTTTCGGTTTTTTAACATGTTGTGAAAACGTCTGATGATTTTACTAAAATTTTCTAAAAGTTTTGATGTGAGACATGCACCTGACAATGAAAACAGAAAAAATTCATGCGGCAAAACTTTGAAACTTTGCAATACAGAAATACCTCTCTAACTTTTAAGATTTAATCCTTCAGCTATCTGCGGCAATAGTTTGGATGATGTGATCTAAAAGTGCTTCACTAAATGAAGGGTGGAAATTCAGAACCTGATAAGCGCGAGCGTTGTTTCTAAAATTGTTCGACTGTTCTGCCATTTAAAAGGAATCGAATGGCAAGAGGATGACAATTTTTGGTATGAAAATAGGACGGAAATTCAGAGTGCTGGAATGCGATGAGATTCACGAAACGACGCATTTCCGTTTGCAACGTTCCAGACTTCCTGTTATATTTCATTTTTTCAANGGGGGGGGGGGGGGGGAGAGAACAGGAGGAATGTTTGCATGTCGATAAATCGGTTTGTTGATTTTAGGCCCCTCTACAACTTTAGCCTGTATGCTTGTTAGTAATGATTGAAAAAATATGATTAATGCATTATATGATACGTGTTATCTTTTATGATACGTGATACTTCTGAGAGAAATATAAGATCAGAGGTTATGAGTAAATGAATGGATGTTTGAATAAGAATCGTGAATGATATGTAATTTCTTGTAAAAAAAATTGCGGAAACAGTTATGAAAATTATGCATCTGAATGATGATCACTCTTTCATCAATCCTCCGTTCTTCTTTATGAGAAAAAGTTATTGAATAAAAAATATATAAAATATGAACTAAATATATATAAAACTATAATACTAAGTATGTATAATACTATAATACTAACTATATATAATACTATATAAAACTATATTTAAAATACAAAATATATAAAAAATATAAATGATTACAGAGAATTTGTGGAATGTGTCTCTAGATGCATCGTTTCGAAAACCCGAGGTAAAGACGATGAACGGGTTGAGTAAAAATTAGTGTTAGGAATCTTTCATCGAGCAATAAAAAACCAGCATCATAGAATATGCCGGAAATTCTCTGCATAGTTAAACACGATAAAGATAAGATTTGAGGTTTGGATATGACAGAAATTGTATTTCCCTATAAAATGAGATCCAAGCCCAACCTACGTTGGGATTCGACATAGAGAATTACAATCGAAACTTACATGCTAGAGTTTTGCTTACAAAAGAGAATTTAAAACTAAAACTCAATATATAATGTAGGCATTCGAGCTAATAGTTTTCCGGGAGCGGCCTTCCGGAAGATGATAATGATACGCTATGTTGAACAAAACATCGTAAATGGTTTTTTGTTTTTTATTTTTTATGTTTTATTTATTTCTTATGTTGTTTTTTATGTTTTTTTATTTTTTGTGTTGTTTTTTATGTTTTTTTATTTTTTATGTTTTTTATTTTTTATGTTTTTTATTTTTTATGTTATTATTTATGTTTTTTTTAATTTTTTATGTTGTTTTTTATTATTTTTTGGTTTTTTTCATTTTTTATGTTTTATTTATTTTTTTGTTTTTTTATTTTTTTAGATTTTTTTAATTTTTTTTTATTTTTTTAGATTTTTTTAATTTTTTTTTATTTTTTTAGATTTTTTTAATTTTTTTTTATTTTTTTAGATTTTTTTAATTTTTTTTTATTTTTTTAAGATTTTTTATGTTTTTTGTAAGGTTTTATTTAAATTTATTTATGTTTTTAATTTTCATTTTTTTATGTTTTTTTTTATGTTGTCATTTTTTAAATTTTTTTTATTCTTTTTATTTTTGTATGCGCTCAATGCGCCTACTAAAGGGAGGGTGTGTGTTCGAGCCCACTGTGGCTCTCCCTTGTTCCACGCCTCAACCGCGTGCTTTCTCCGCCCCCGCGCAGGGAATTGACTGTGTGCCGACGAGAGGGATCCCTCCCGCTTTTCATCCCTGACCATCAGAGTTCGGGGTCTCATATACATGCCCGTTCCCTTGTTTTTTCTATGTTTTGAAAGGATAGGGGTTCGGCCAGTTCTCTGGTCCAGTCGGAGCTCTCATTTCCTTCCATCCTATCCCGTGCACGCACGTTTACTGTTGCACACCTCTTTACTCGCACGTCTACTGCAGCATCCTATCCTTGTGCTCGCACGTGTACTGCAGCACCCTGTCCTTGTGCTCGCACGTCTACTGCAGTGCACCTCCTCCTGTGCACGCACGACTAATGCTGCGCCTCCAGCCTTTACCTGTCCCTCAATGTCTTTCTCCCTGACATGAGGAGTCAAGTTTAGTGATAGCCCTATGTATGTTTCGTGCATTTGTCGTGTATTTTTCCTGTGTAACGTGTACATATTTTGTTGAGAAATAAAGATTAGAACTTTAAGATTAAGATCTCCTGATGATGATCCATGTCGTAGGCTCGTAGCAGCAAATCGACTTTTTGAAGGAATCTTACAACTCTTGGTTCTAGTCACAGATCCTATTTCTCAGCTGGTCCCTCGCTCCCGCTCGGTGCGTGGGTCTCGGCGAGACCACGGCGAATGGAGTTGGTTTTGGCGCCGGCGGCGCGTAAAAATCGCAAAGGGATGTCCCCATGCCTTGGGATCCTTTATCAGCCGCTTGCACCATAGATCTCCTGGGTTTCCCATCCAACGGTCCCACCATTCTCCAATAATGTCATTGTGTATCACGTCATAATTTTCTTCTTTCTTTACTCTTCTAAATTTCTCCTCAAACAAAAGATCGGTTGGAGGGAATCTTCCCGCCAAATATTAAGCTTGCTGCAAGGTTGCAAGAAAATGATTGGTAAGACTGTTTTGTAGGCTTGCTGTGAGGTTGCCACATTATTGTGTTTTGTTTCCAACATTCTCCGATAAAGTACTCAAGTATGTTCTTTTTAAACGATTCGTCATTAGAGCTTACTTTTTTGTTTTGTTTTATGAAGGGGTGTACTTCCTAGTTTTCTTTGATATAATTTTAACCATCCGGTCACTAATCTATGGTCAATTTCTGTTGGCAGCTACGAGATCCGAACGAATCCTTCGTACTTAGTAACACCAACGACGACAGAGTTGTACTCCTCACCGGTCTCGTGTCGTGAGGTTGGCAAGCACTGGAGTGGGAACGTATTGCCAATCGACACCGGAGACAACTGCCCGGCCAATCAGTATTACTACTCAGGGTTCACCGCTATCCAAACACTCCTCGATTTCACCAAGATCACGGTTTGTATTCGTAATCGCAATAACTCGCTCAGATCCATGTCAAAGTTCTAGCCGGGTTTACGGATGGAGTCTTTGACTAAGTAGACGTGTTTTTTAGGGTTGAGCAGAATTACATGCATGAATTACATTGCAAAGGAAAATCACCTTATGAACATTTAAGCGTTGCCTAGTGTCGCTGGTAATAGGACAACATGTCCAAAGATAAAAGTCCGAAGTACAAAAATGTTCGAAGTCATAAAAGTCCATATCTGGAATGTCCAATTGCGGTGATATGGCCCGAAATAAAAATACCAAAATATGACATAGGTAATTTGACAACAAACTGAGCTTGAAAGCTGTACATCAATATCCATGGGAATAGGTAATGATGAAGACGATATTCCACGATATCTTAAGGGAATAGCCTATTATGTTCGAGTTAGTTACGAGCCGGAAGACGAAGGTGATCAGGAAGTATGAGGAATTTATACGAGCGGGTAAATGACAAATTTTGACACATAGTAACCGGACATTTGGGCGTGTTTTATTTTAACCATGATACCGGTATTTGACATTCCAGATACTTGGTCATTTTCTACTCGTAGAATTTTTACTTTCTCGCTCCCATAGGGTAGAGAGGAAGTATTGTCATCCTCCAAAAAAAAAAAAAAAAAAAAAAAAAAAAAAAAAAAAAAAAAAAAAAAAAAAAAAAAAAAAAAAAAAAAAAA